GGACACAGTGGTGGCAAAGAGTTTTTTCTCATGAAGACCTTCATTTCTTTTTTTGGAAAAAGGAAAACATAATTATTTTATTATTTATTTTGGCTATTCAAATCAAATGAAGATGAAGTTTCCTCTCATGCAGATCAACTTAATAATTCATTTGTTTGTTTCTATTTCTTTGCTATAATAAGATTGATTTTTGTCTTTTAGAGTATAATATTTTATTTGAAAGAAATGATAAAAAGAAAAATAAATAGAGAAGAAAGACAACACGAAGAGGAGGAATGGACCGTGAGCGACACTATACTCCAAGCCAGTGCAATTGAATGAGCAACATTTTTTAGTGGTAACTGATTCTTTTTTGCGGTATTTAGGGTTAATTGATATATATTTTTATGTGGTAATACGTGTCTCATTTATAACATAAAGATCATAGTACAAGCCACGTACAAATCGACCTGGCAAAACTTAAAAGACAGCAAAATGCTAGGCTTTGCACAAAGGAATAACAACCAAGAAGTAAAATTACAATTAAGACCGAAGAAAACTTTGAACTTGACACCAACGCCCGTCACAGGTCTCCGGGACCACCATAGCAGCCATCAAAGGAAACAATGACGGATCCCTTCACACCCAAGCTCCAAGCGACTCCATCGCTGATATGCAAGTTTGTGGACCTCCAAGGTGGTTCACCAAAAGCGAAACCATTACTGTTGAACGAATCAGACCGGGGCAACACTCCGGACACGCCATCAAACTCCAGATCTGCCACCCCCACACGACTAAGACGCCGGAGGAGAAAACCATACCTGCCATCCACGAACCACGAACCAGCACACGATCCACCATCTTCCAGATGCCGCCGATGCAGACCACAATCTGCATCCGCTCCTGGACTACCTCCCAAGCTCCGCGCCGGTGCTGGAGCAAACATCGTCGCAACAACGGAGCCCGAGGACACAGGTCCACTACGAGGATGTCACTGCCGCCACACCATCCTTACTTGAACAGACTGATTTCCAAATCCATCCCCAAGGACAGGACCGATCGCCTCGTCGAAGTAGGATCTGAAGAAACTTTATTCAGCGCCGCCATCGCTGCCGCCGAAGCAGAAACGATGAACAATCTAAAAACCTAAACTACGAGAGCCTAAAAGATGATCCACACACGTGAATCCGGCGACCCCGTCACCACCGACGACCGAAGTCGCCGACGGAGGGGAGCTGCTGGAGGCCGGCAGCGGAAGCTAGTCCGCTGGCGGTAGAAGCTAGATCTTTAGGTTCTTTTTTTTTTGACAAAACATCTCCTCCTTTATTCAAGTGTCGAAATAGTGGCATCACTTACAAGCTTTTGAATGAACGCGCTCGGGCCAGAATCCATCCAAAATCCGGGAGGAGAAAACTTAGCTATCCTAGCTAGTTCGTGAGCTACTTGATTACACTCTGTAACACAGTGTTCATATATTACATGGTTAAAATCTAAGGACATAAATAAGCAATCATCAAAAATTGCAGTAGCAACTGAAGATGAGTAGCCATCTTTCATAAAAAAGTACTCTAACTGCAACGACAAGTGTGTCAAGTCAACAAATTGTTCGAACATCTAGATTAACCTAATGTAATGATGATCTAGTCTAGCTAAATAGCTGCTCGGAGACCCCAAGTCAAGTCAACTGCTCAAAGTCGTCCGCACCGACACTTAATCTTTGCAGCCAGTGCATCTTAATGGCAGTTGCAGGCTTGAAACAGTTAAGCCAAAGTTGCTGGTAACTGTAACATACAATTCGTACGTGTTGTGAGCGATCGAGGCAGGGCCAAAAAACATACGTGGTAGAGTAAAAATATTTTTTACGACTACTCCAGCAACTCCGGCTCCTACAAGCTGCTAGTGCTATCTGAGCAGCTGTACTACTTGTCTACTTGAGAGTTGAGATGCTCACTGCATCCGCAACCCTCAACTCAGTTGCACGTTTCGATCTGTGGCATGAATCGGACACGATCAGCGTGGCACTTCACCGATAAGCAAAATGGACATCGCAATTTCAATAAGAAACATCAGAGAGCCGCAGCGGAAAGCGTAGAGGGCCCATAATGCATAGGTCCAAACCTGGCTCTGGTAATATTTTCCCCATTGGGTTGAATTGTTTTTGCTGGGCTGTGATATTTTATGCGTTGTTCGGCCAATTTTCAATGTGATGAGTTTTGAACTGGACTTCAGTATTTCGTGCGGTCCATTTCGATTTTGTAGGATTGTTTGGCCCATTTCTTCTATTCATGCATCTTTTGAACTGATTCTTAACCTGAAAAAAAGGTCTTGGGTCAATCCGTTTCACTTTCTTTTTTTCGGGTATTGTAGATTCTTTTTACGGTGACATTGTAGGAATTTTCAAGCCATGCATTTGTCCCTCCGTCCACGAATAAGTATACATCTACCATATGGTACAACAAATTTCTTTTCTTTCGCCTCTCGCAAGGTGATTAGGAAAAGCCTTTCTACACTCGATTTTCGCCGGCAAGCCCGTGGATCCACCTTCCTTGCCTGGCGCTTTGACTGCCGGTGGCCGGGAAGAGGACCTTGTCCCTCAGCTCCGGCTAGTTGATAGGTGGGGTTTTGGTCCTTCTTTTTTCATGGCATCCACTTAATTTCAATCAGATGAAAAAAAATTGAAGACAATTCTTGACCAAAGAATCAATGGAAGGAAACAAAAATAATATAAGAATAGCCTATAGTAAAAAGTAATAGAAAAAACCCAGCAAATCTTTCATGCTTAAATATCCCGCGAGGTGCTTCAGAAGAGCATAAAATCATTCTAAGAATAAGAAAAAGGTATAAAACAAATGGAGATATGTGATACGTCGTGAATAGTTATGTGGCGATGTAAGATAGAAAGAATGGGGAGTTAGGCCTTCGGTTTCCTCTGTAGTCATGTGCCGACATGCGGACTCACTTCTCTGTTCGGACCGATGGCGGCGATTCTTCTTCGATATAGTCTTCCATGCTCAGATCCTTCTCAAGTTCGTCCATTTGGACGGATTAGATAGAGCTCCGATGTAGATTCTTGCCAGCTCCTTGGCGCGGCAGGCTATACAACGGTGTGATTTCGTGTAGGTTCTTCAGATCAATTCGAGGATTCAACGCCAATGACTGCAGCTCTGGGGCGCTGGTCCTTAGGGGCACGTGCACAAAGACTTGACGACTTCCATCGATAAGATCAAGTAGACTTCAGTATGGGAGTTGTGATAGTGGCGCATCGGCGGGTTGTTCTAGCGGCGGCAAAGGTCGTTCGGTGGTCCATGGCCTCAATGTATTTTTTTATTATGTTTGTGCTGCTTTGTGCTTCCGGTGAATCTTTATTTTAGTATAAACCTTTTCGCATAGAATTTACATTTAATTTGCACGCTGACATGCAAAAAAAGAAGGTCCATTATACCGTGAACAAAATTCAACTTCAAATTTTGTCAAGCTGACTGACTGTCTTTTTTTATTTTCTTTTTGGAGTCAACTACAGTGGGCAAAAGCCAACCTGAACATATTTTTTATCTTTTGAAAAAAAGAGCAGGATCAGACACCGTTGGATCAGTAGAAAGGAGATCGGACACCAAGAAGATATACAGAAGAAGTCACTGGCTGGCCGAGTCAATGGGATAGCCTTACTGTCTTGCTGGGTGTTACAATCGAGCTAAACACATTTGCATTAATTTCTTATGGAATAACCAGTTCGCACAAGCGGCAAAAAAAAGGGAAGGCAAGAAAAAACAAAAATATTGTAGAGATTGCCAGTTGGAGCACTAGTAAGAAACCCATTGTGAATGCTCGCTCTCGAATAACATCTATGAGAAGAAGAAAAAAGCTACTAGCACGTGATACAAATGTTTAAAAAAGTTGGAGAGAATAGCACAAATTACAACCGAAAGGCAGCACCTGCGCCAAAGATAAGCATCATCCCAAACCATCAGCCATCAACTACCAATTAACCGCCGGAGGCACCAGATGAACGTCTTGATAGAAGTCATCACATCACCTGTGGTTCCTCGGTGTCTTGCCCCGCGGGGCTGGAGGCGTCCGTCCTACTTGGTTGCCTCCTCCCCCGTTTCCTTCTGCCCCGTTATCTTCTCCCCCTGGCATAGCCCCCTGATCAAATTGGCTTCCTCCCCCCCTTGTCCCGGCCCCAGCGCTCTGACCAAAGTCGCCAAATGCATGCCCTGATGCCATGGCAACAAATTATATGTCAAAATGGGGCATCCCCTTCCAAAATATAAGAAGTAGAACCGACACGGTGGTTGCGTACCTTTGCAAACGGCAGAGCATGGGAATGGCAGCAGGGAGCAGCAGCACACGATCACCAGGATGATTACCAGGGCGCGTGGGAGCGGGAACGGAGAAGAAGAAAGCCGCTTCATGGTCGACGATCTTGTCTGTGCCCAGCTTGAGTTCTAACGAAATGATTCGAGCTCTCTTCGTGGTTGTGTCTGGTCACTCTTCCTAGTTAAGTAGTCTAACAGCAACGACAAGTGTGTCAAGTCAACAGATTCTCTGAACATCTTGATTAACCAAATGCAATCACAACCTTCGATGTCTCCATTGAAAGTTTAGCTAAGATCGGAGGCCCCAAGAGCTCAAAGTCGTCTCTGCTGACACTCAATCTTTGGGGTCAGTGCATCTCAATCGCTCCTGCAGGCTTGAACCTGTCAAGCAAAACTGCTGGCAAGTGCAAGTAAAGTAGAACTCGAGGCATGCATGGCCATCAAAACTCGTACGTGCTACAGTCAAAATATTTACTACTACTGCTGCTGCTCCAACTCTGCCTCCACTACAAAGCAATCAGAGTGGCGAAAGCGTGGTGGGCCCATAACCTCGAAACCTGGCTCTGATAAATTATCGGCTATTGATGAATTTCGAACTGGGCTTCAGTTGCTGGCCTGTTTCCCCTTTTTGGGTTGTTCAGTCCATTTCCATATTTATTAAATTCGAACTGGGCTTTAGTTTCTCCTTTTTTGTCGCGCAGTCCATTTCGCCTTGTAGTATTGTTTTGACTGTTTCTTCTATTGATTGATGCATAACCTTGTCTAAAGAAAGTAATTCTTAACCTGAAGAGGAAAACATAGTCTTGGATGAATCAACCTGACTTTGTATTGTAGTTTCTTTTTACAGGCACATTGTCGAGATTTCCAAGCCGTGCATGTAGCATTGTTAGGGCATCTACAACGCCCGCCACTTGACTAGTCGCTTATAGAGGAGAGAAAAACATTATTAAATTGAAAAACATCTAAGCGACCAGGTCTTCCAAGGCAAGACGCTAACCGCCGCTGCTAATCGAACGATAATTACACTGGCCATGCGCCTCATGCATGAAAGAAAGGAGCGAAGTGCTTGATGCTTCTCTTTGGTCGACGCATTGTTCGGCTCCCGGAATTGAAGGCCTCCACAGCCGATCGACCAGGAATTCAATAGGGAAGAAATCCTGGGGCCTCTCTAAGCACCCTGCGTTGGAGATGCCCTTAGTGGTTTGGTGATTGCGACTTTGTGAGTGGCCGTACAGACAATCATCCTTTTCTTCAGCTCCGCTCTCTCTCTCTCTCTCTCTCTGCGTTGGACAAAATGTAGCCCACACAGACACACACCGAAGATGAGT